TGTTTTGTTCTAGCCTTTGTGCTATCAGGTCTCTATGGGATGGACTCATATGGCTGTGACCTTACGTAATGCTCGAAAAACTGATGCTGCTGTAAACAAAACTACACTACTTGATTTGTGTACATTTTAAAAATAACAGACCTCTGAAAACAGAATTGCTATTATTAGCATAACTGTTTTTTCCTTGTAAAAGCCATAGATCACATGTGCTGCTTTCTGTGAAATGTTTTATTTTTAGGTCTTAACATTTGCAGGTCTTTGCCACACCTTTTCAAAGAATTTGTATCAATACCTCAGTGAATGTTTCTGAAAATCTCATTCTGCAATATTGTCTTTTATAGTCTAGATGTTTTTTTGCTGTAATTTTCTGCATCCATAGTATTTCTAAGATTTTATTCACAATCTGTTGCCTTTTCACATTCATATTTTCTTTATAATTAATTCCAAAACTGCTACTTGAACTGGCAATGATGGCTCATAGAATAGATTGGCAGACAAGCTAAGTTATTCCTACTTTATCTCTCCAATAGGAAAGGGTTACGTGATTTTTGTTGAAATGTGTGTTATTTTAATTCTGAATACGCAGTGTCTTATGTTGCTAAAATAATGTTCATTGTGTTTCATAAGTGTTTCACCATAGCTTTTTTGTTTTAAAACGTTTTTTATTGAAATTACACAGTTATGTACCTCACTGTTACTGAAGGCAAAACATTACTCCACCTATGAGGTGATTTCATGAGAGAAGCATATCTTTTGGCATAAGTTTCTAAGACTGTGTATAATTATTAAGTTGCAGCTTAGTTTGTAATAGCACTGACTGCATTATTGGATCTGTAAGAGTGTTGTGTTTTTTATGATATCTTCTGTGCAATGAGTCATAATAATAATAATAATAAAGCAAAACATGGCATAATTTGTAGGTTTTTCTACTGATAAAAATTTCCCGGACATACGCTGCCTGCAATGTTACTTAGGGTAGGCTTTAAAAATGTCTTTAAATTTTAGACCTGTCATCTGTTTGTAAGCTCTGGGCTCGGTCCCCAGGAGCTGTGCGGGCTGGTGACCCCATGGCATTTTCCCTTCCACCCAGGCTTGTTTTGGGAACCAAGGCACCTGCAACACATCTTGAGAGGCAGGGGAATGCCAGTGGCTCCCCAGCCGTTTCCAGCCCTTTCATCCTGAAAGTAGGGACCGAGCAGGAGGACGAAATGGATGGACTGGTTCAGGAATTATTCTCTTGGCCTACTTTGAAAATAAACACAACTTGAACTACCTGGGTATGTCCTTCAAAGGGGTGGCAGGTGGGAGAAGAGCAGCTGACTGACTACCGGCAGCTCTGGAGTTGGGTGCTGAGGGACGCTACATAACCCCCAGGAGAAACAGGGCTCTGCCAGAGTGCAGGCAGAACAGCCCAGGTCAGGTCAGAGGGGCACTTGGCCAACTGTCCTGCCCTAGTGGCCCAAGGCAGATGCTGAAGGAGGAGCAGAAGAGCAGAACAAGTGTGTATGAGGCTTCCTCAAAGTCCTTTTCTAGGACTCCAAGACTTTCTGAGTCAGGTACAATTTCTGTGCATTTGGCAGCCCTCAGTTATGTCCATTAACTTGTCCATTCCCAGCTTGAACCAGTACAGACCTCCAGCATCCATGCTTTCCTGTGGCAAGAGGTTCCACGTTGTAACCAATGGCTGTGCCAGAAGAGGTCTCTTTATATTAGTTTTGAGCTTTCTGGCCTCTTTTATTACCTCCTAGTTCTTGCATTGTACAAGGCAGAGAATGATCAATCTCTTTGTTTTCTCACGCCAGACACAATTTCCAGATCTTTGAGAACATAACATACAATCTTCCAGAACATAAAAACATTAACGGCAGTATCTTTTAAAAAGCAATAATTTTTTCAGACCCACATGAGAAGATCCTGTGCTTCTCCTTGTCATCTGTCCAAATACAACTGTAAACTCCTTCCGAGTTAAGTCATTCCGTTTGATCTCTGTCTTTTGTACTGTATACTGTAGTATTTTACATTTTACAATCTCTTGCATCCTCCTTGGCACAAAACCCTTTGTGGCCATCAAATAAGGAGGACAATCTTAGTTTAACTGAGTCCCCCAGAAATAGCTGAGAGGAAAAGTAGAGCCCTAAGCTATGGAAGTGGATTTAGTAAACCCAGGGAAGCATAGAATTTTGCTGGAAAAAAAGTGTAATGAATGCTGAGAAACTATATCTCTAACTTCAACAAGCTATACTAAATACATTTTAAGAGAGCACCTGTCTAAATTTCTAAATCTGGAAAAGACATACAGACCTTATAGAAGTCTTTGAGCTTCCCCCAGGTGGATGAGTATCCTAAATATTTAATGCTCAATTCTAAGAGGAATTGGAGGATTGTAGTCAGTAACTCAGACAACAACATCTCTTTTAGGTGCTCCTGAATAGTGGGTCACTTGCAGGCTGCTGTGCAAAGCATCAATATAGGTGTATGGGCCTGACCAGAATTAAGGGGGTCCTAGAGGGCGAATCTGGGGGCAGCTGGTCACGCTGCTTCTGCAGTGGCTGAAGGAGTTGCTTGCCCTTTCTTCCTTTCCTGTTTACAGCTGCTCAGATATTTTCCCTCCCTTGCATCAGCTCTGGGGTTCATCGTACCTCTTTGTAAGGGACTTGGAATTACCAAATGCAGCAAAACCATGGGTTTGTTGAACCCTCCCAAGTGTACTTTGATGAGTGCCAGTACTGACACCAAGACTATTTTGATGACTGTTAGTTCTGACACCGAGAGTATTTTGATGAGTGCTCGTGCTGACACAAGGTAGGTTCAATGCTCACTGCTGAGGGGACACTGAGACCTGCTTTCAGCAGCAACTAGCTGTGAACTCACTGTGACTGAGGGGACACCAGCTCCATGGACAGTTGTCCCATGGATGCTCCCATTCAGAAATCTATTATCATCCCTCTTTTTGTTGCCTCTGTCGCTTGCACTTAGATGCAAAGTCTTTTTCTTTTAACATCCAGTTTCCATTGACTTATTGACAGTCCATCTACATTTGAGGTTCTGCCAGCATCTTCTGTAGCCTAATTAGCTACCTTTACATGTTGGTGTATACACCCTGGTGCATTCAGATCCCCTCACGACTCTTTTTTTTTTTTTTTTTTTTGCTAGACTTCAGCAGCTTTCCATTCCCTGGTTATCTCAGGAGTCTCTCTGTGGTTCCGGGTAATTGAACTTTTGAAGCAAAGCTGTCCAGTACCTGTTTGCACTATTTGAAAAGAGGTCTCCTTTGGACAGTGGTATTAATCTTACCTCAGTTTGCCTGGAAATATATCTTCTTTAATGTATTCTGGGATGACAGTTGTGTTTTTCAGGAAGACACCCTATTGATCTGGCAAATCATTTTGCCAGAAACAAGTGCAGTCATGTCTCTCTTCCTTATAAACCAGGCCCTCCAAAACAATGTAATAAAAATTCCCTGCAGCCCTTAAGTGCATAAATTTGCTGTTCGTACAATTGAATTTGATCCTATTTCTAATATCCCTTCCTGAAGATCATCCAGCTCTTTCCTGTGGGAGTTTTTTCAATCATGTTCTTTCTTCCCCGTACTTTCCAACTTAGTGTTATCAGCATATTTCATTGGAGCACTCTTGGTTTTTGTGCCTGGGTTATTAATGCAAATACCAAGCTGGCAGTTTGTAGGGCTGATGGAAAGACCCATACTACCGACCTTGTCCTGCATGGGGCTCGCTCTGGGCAATCACCAATGCCTACGTGAGCAAGAAAGTCCATGGCTGTGCTGCCTGCTTAGCCAGGGAGAAGCTCTGGAAAGGTGAATGGCTGCTGCCCTGGGTGCCACTCTGCTGTCCTTCCCCTCCCGCAGCAGGTCAGTTCTCCTCGCCTGGGTGTTTTGGTGTTTGAAGGAGAAATATTCAATTTTGTCTCTTCTGCTGAGAAGGTCTGCGCTCGTTGCCTCCTGTCCCATCAGTCAGCACGCCTCTTTCATGTTTTCTTTACCAATTCTTTATCTTTTGCAGTTTAATCGCCTCTTAGGCAGGACGATACCAAATCTTTTTACAGTTTTAATCTCAGTAAAATTTTGCAGTCTTTGAAAATGTTTAGTGAAATTTCTGATGTGGATGATTTGCTTGCCTAGAAAAATAACTGACGAGGGAGAAGTATGGTGTGAAGAGTCTGGATAAATACAGCATGGATTTAACTTAGATACGTTTGCCTGAGGTCTGATTGTTTTTTCTCTTCAGTGCTTGTTCCAAAGCCTTGTGTACTTTTGAGGCTGAGTTTGCTGTTGCCCAGAGCATTTTCCTTTGACGTTGCTCGAGCTGCTGGGCTGCGGGTAGAGCCAGGGTGAGGGATGGGCCTGATGGAGGCCTGTCCTGGGACCTGAGAGCAGCATGGCACCTGCCGCCTGCCTCAGCGCCTACAGTGGGACTGGCTGTCAGCCAACACTCTGGTGCAGCTCCTGCGGTTGATGGCTTTGCCTACCCAGTTACATTGATCCTGAGCTCACCATATTGGTATTACAAGGTCATTTAATTATATAGTGCTGTTGTGCCCTTAGGAGTCTGTCGGAGGCTGCTGCCATTTTCCCTCAGATACTGCCTGCTGCAGGAGTAACTCTGACTGATTTCTCATCCTTCTGCTTTTTTCTTTTTTTTATTTTAAAAAGTTCACCTAGCTACCTCACTGTTTGCTTTTGGCGGCAAATAGAAAAGTCTCTTGAAATAAAACCATTATCAGTGGCTGGTTTTGAACCTTCTATGAAGAAAACCCCCCTTAGCTTTCCTTGTCCCGCCTTCTGGTATTAAAAAATCAATGTATCCCATGCAATGTGTAACTCCATTGGAGATGGCTGTTTCAGTGATTTTTATGAAAATTTTAGGAAAAGTATCCTGCAGGTTTTGCCCTTTTCAAATGTAAATGTTTAATCAGTCCTTGCTGAGAGGGAGTGCAAGAACACATGCGCGAGGCTTATGGTTCTTTTTTTCTTCTTCTTGCAGTGACCTGCTGTCTTCTGAATATCTTGAGAGGCATATCGAGCCAGGTGGGAAGACGGTGGAAGTTAAAGTAAGAATTTCCTTTTTATGCTTTGCTTTTCTAATTTGCTTTGCTTTTGACATTAATGCAAACTCGTCAATCTCTTGAAAGGAAAGATACCTGATTTTTCAGGTGATTTGTCTTACTCTTCTGAGGCAAGCGTGTTTCGTGTCTTCTAACTTTTCAGCTTTTTAAACACGACAAAGAAACTTTATTGGTAAATTTACTACATTAATGTTGATATCAAAATGGTATCCATGAAAAATTTATACATGGTAGTTCTTTTTACTAGTAAATATAATTTACTTTTGATGCCTATTGAAGAAAATATTTCTAGTTTGGTAGCTAGCATTTCCTCCTTGTACTAAACCCCAAGTTTGTTGCTTTTAATGAGCTTTGTAAGTTTGAGAATATCAAGATTTATTGTATAATATTTCCAAATATCTAGTCACTGTCTCAAATTGTGTGTTTCTTTCTCTGAATGTTTGTTGGCATGATGGCTACAAGATCCTGTTTGTTGCAGTTGTCTTTTGTGAAATGTCTCACTGCCTTTGCAGGAGTGTTTTGTTATTTGCGTGCAAGATGGGATAATTTTCTTGAGGACCTTCTGTTTGTTAGGACAATATTTTGTAGACATCAGGTATAAAGTTGCTGTAGACTACATAAAATGAGCATGAATGTAAATGCCACACATAATGGAAACTCTTTGTTTGCCTATCAGGTCAAATTTTGTTCAAAGTTTACATTCTATTAAAATCCCCCAAAGACTTTTACTAAATCTGAGATCACCTAAATACCCTGAAACAAATGTGTTAACGTCTGCAATGCAGAAGTGGAAATAGACAAAGCAATCCTTTAGCCTCCGAGTAACTGAATCCTTTAGCTACTGGGTAGCTGAAAATACATGTTTTCTTTGGTTTATCCCTTTCTATCACTTGCAAACTTGAAACCTGCTTTCTTTTCACTCTCTGATAATAGTTTGCATACGTTATTAGACTGAGGCAAACACATACGTCTTCCATTAAATTGTAAAGACTAATTTTCAGTCAGCCATGCTCTGTAATCAAGAAGTCTTGACTCAGATTCAGAATATGAGTCAAAGCAGAAATAAAGTTAATAGCTGATATTAATAAGAACATAACAATCCATTTGTCTGCTTCAAGGTATATATGCAAGTTAGCTAAGTTAATCTATCCGAGTCCCATCACTGAATGAGGACAAATCTGTTTCTGATGAGTAAGCCTTAATTAAGCAAGGAAATGTTTGAAATCAGTGGCTCTTCTCATATAAGTACTGTTTAATTGCATGGGGAAGAGACAGGAGGATGGGGCCTTTCAGAGGAAGGGTCATAAAATGTTTTCTGGGCAAAACATCTCCCAGTCTCTAGGGTCCTAGAGATTATTTCCCCTTCAGTTAGCTGCAGTGTAGGGTTGTGGTATACCTCCAGGGATGGCTGTCACTGCCTCGCTTAATACTCTCAAATCTGCTTTAGGTAGAGGACCAGCGTCGCTGCATTGACCTTGCTGCTGGAGATGAACTGAGTTGGGAGTGAAAGGGTCGTGAGGTTGCATGGCAAAGGAGGGACCTTGCTGCTCTGGTGGTGTGTTTCCCTCTCCACACTGCAGGCAGGGGTGCAGGGGTGGCTGGGGGGCACAGCGGGGACTCTTCTGTCCCCTCCTCATCTTCTGCTCCAGGAGTTCGGCAGGCAGCAGTCCCACAGAAGCATGCCAGGAAGGGGGATGTATATTTTTGCTTGTTTTTCTGCATCTGAGTGTCTGGGATGGGAGGAGAGGGAAGCAGCTGCTGTGACAAAATGTCCAGAAGAGCCCCTTGGCCGCAGTCATGGGCACATTTTCAGAAAAGTTCAGATATCAAAAGATTTTAGGAGAGTGCAGGCTGCCAAGTACATTTTGATGCCAGCCACTGAGTGAGGCTAATTTCAGTACCCTATAGCTGTTGAAAAATAAACTGGTTCCCTCTGACCAGCCAGTATTTTTCAGAGCACCTGTAATTGCCTGGAGAGCCCTGTTCATCCGTTGAACAATTTCTGAAAAGCCCAGCACTATCTGTTTCGCAGTTGAGAAACTGAACTCTGGTTTTAGATCACATGTTTTGAAAATTTTACTGCAAATACAAGAATTTTTCATGATGGTGATTTACTACCTTCAATTTCTGTGGAAACTGTTTACCATAACCGGTAAACCCACCTTTAAATTGGTGCTTAAAATATGCACCAGGCAAAACGTAATTATTATACTAGATTTTAGGGTTGTGTAGATTGCTTAGATACTTATTTAAAAATAACTAGTAAAGGGTGCAACTTATAAATCCCAAAATATGCACTCTGCTACGCAGCATGTTCTTAAGCAGAAGCAGAAGAAGAGGTATTTCAGAATGGAGCCAGGTTTCTATCAGTTGCTTCAACGTGCTGCTCTTCACCCACCTCTGTGTGATTTGTCTTTGGCTGTAGGCAGAAACAGAGGCGGCCTGGCAACATCTCTCTTGCTGCTTCGGTGGGAGAAACAGCGACAGAAAGAAAATGTCCATCTGCCATCCACTGCCAGCTGCAGGCTTTGAGCAAGGCTGTTTATATAGCAAAAGGACCTCCTCTGTTCTTGGCCTTCTTAGTGACATAAGGAGAGGTGTATTTTAAAATACATATGTATATCACCCTTGCATTTCTCAGTGCAGGAATATTGCACAAACATGTGAGTTGTCTGTGCTGCTGTTGTGCCATCAGTAGTACGGGAGAAGACAGGAGCTTTGGATATCTGGGGGAAGGCAGCTGTATGTGCACTCAGCAGTTTGGGAATGTTACAGGCATGAATGTGTACAGGAAGCAGATGCCTGCTTTGGCTCACATGCAGTGTGGAGTTGATAACTACTTTTGCCGCTCCTCCCCCTCTCCATTCCCTCCAGTAAAACTTCCTGTGCTGTAACAGACACATGGATCTGCCATTGCTTAGGATGCTTCAGAGAGGAGAGGGGGGCAGGGAAAGGGAGAAACCCCGTGGCCCGAAAAATGAGCCGACGGGGAAGAAGACCAGCCTGGCTAAATAGAGAGCTTTGGCTGGACCTCAAGAACAAAAGGAAAGCTTACATTCTCTGGAAAAGGGGGTTGGCATCTTATGAGGATTATCAAGATGTAACAAAGCTATGTAGGGGGGAAATTAGAAGGGCCAAGGCTCAATCAGAACTCAGCTTGGCCACTGCAGTTAAAGACAATAAGAAGAGATTCTTTCAGTATATCAATAGGAAAAGGAAGACTAGGGAAAATGTAGGCCCACTGATGAATGAGATGGATGCTCTTGTGGTGGAAGGCACAGAGAAGGCAGAGTTACTGAATGCCTTCTTTTCTTCGGTCTTCACTGCTAAAGCTGTCCCTCACGAATCCCATACCCTGGAGGCAAGGGGGAAGGTCTGGAGAGAGGAAGATTTTCCCTCAGTTGAGGAGGACC